AAAACCTGCAGTCGGCATTTTTCTCAGGCTCCCCACCTTGCGCCTAACTTGCTTGTCTCAGTCTCCCCCCCTCACCAGCTTCTGTTTCATCACTGTGTTTTTCCCTTTGTACACAGCTCGCTGCTCAGCCATGCTTCTGCAGAGCATATTGGAGTGTAAATTGTTTTCTGCAGTGGTGCAGTATACAAAAAAGGTACTTTGCAAGCCTGTAGGACCGCACCAGCCCACTGAGGTGTAGAAAGCTCTTGTGCTTTCGGCTGCACGCACTGACATACAGTAGCTTCAAAGAGCCTATGTGGATTAATACGACTTGTATGTGCTCTCTGTAGCGAACTGAATAGTTTCAGAGACAGATGAATTATTCCTGAATGATGTTCTCTGCATCCCATCTTGTTCCTGCCCTGCCTTGCAGAGAAGTCAGACTTTGCGACTTAGGCAGGTTTTGTTTCTACCTGTATATCTGGCACTGTGCTGGAAAAAATGACATCATCTGGGGACTGCTGCAGGGCACCTGCGCGTGTGACTTACTGCTGGGCTGCCTCCCAGTCACACCGCTTTATACAAATACTGCGGGAGCAAAGGGGCCCTCAGCTTGGGTCACCTTTGCGTTTTAATGCCAGTGCTTCTGTGTTGTGTAGCTGTTGTGCTTAATCAAGTTATCTTTTAGTACAAAGGAGGAAATGGGGTGCTGTGGGAAAGAATCAACATGCTCTTCTTGGGGACTTTCTCTTAACTTCGGGAAGTTTGGATTTAGAAAAGTTAATTTTGCTGTGTGAGACATGCTCAGAAACCAGGCTGGTGACTTGATACAGTTAAAACACAGGCTGGTGACTTAGAGCAAGAAAGCATTCGGCTCTTCTGCCAGGACAACCTTGTGCAGCCGGCCTCACCTTGGAGCATTTGAGAAGGATCTCTCCTAGAAACTGATCTGCTATGGGACTTGAGGGATCAGAGCTCAGTGCCGCAGCTTCTCCCTGCGCTTACAACCAAGACCTGTGACCAACGGAGTGGGAGCAGGTCAGCATCCTGCTACTCTAAGCTGATGTCAGGCAGTGTGGTCGCAGGCGTAAAATAGTTTTCATGCCACTAGGAAATGGGGTCAGCATCACTTAGGAGATGAGGCTCTATGACCAATCGTACTGGCACACTCGGTGCATATTTTCCTGGATTAGGGTTTTTTTTTCTTTAAAGTATCAGGAAGTGGTATTTCTAGAGACAGAAACAAGACTTGAGAGGTGCGCAGGATTTATTGACTTGTAGCAGGCCATTTCATGGGGTGATAACTGATTCTTTCCTTTCCTAACAGAGAACCTGGAATATAACTCTGAGCCTCGGGAGATCCCTCACCCTGACATTGGCCGCTATTTTTCAGAGTTTACCGGCATTCACTACCTAGCAAATACCGAGCTAGAAATTCGGTACCCGGAGGATTTGGAGCTCACACGTGCCACAGTTCAGAAGATCTACAGTTCAGGCAAGGAGTGAGTGCAAAAGGCATCGTGAGGACAGAAGCAGCCGGAGTGTAGCTTTACCCTCTTTGCAAAACTTGCGTGGAAGGCAAGTTTGGTGACAATCCTTTGGCTTAATGCATTGAAAACTGCATTGAACTTTGTAACTGGTGCTATAGCATCTTTCCGTTGCCTGCCTGCCCATTCTGGCCCAAAGGCACAGGGACACATTGGTAATTTGAGGCCAAGCGTAAGGATCTTGCGGGGACAGTCGTGCTAGGAAGCGCGTTGTCCTTCGGAAGGATTTGCGCATACTACTCGTTCTGTGATTGTCTTGCCTGGAAGGTCGACGCAGTGAGATCCCTGGTGTGGAATATGGAAGAAGCCCCTCTTCCAGAGAAGGAAGTTGCTTGTCCTTGCAGTGTTGTGGGTTTTTTGTTTGGTTGTGGGTTTTTTTTAATGTATATCTCATGCAGGTGATAGTTTTTAAAGTCTCTTACATTTCACTGTTGTCTTCTCCGGTCTGAATTTTTGGTCAGATTCTGCTTCACTTCTGTAGTCTGATTGTTCACCGAGCTACCGTTCCAATTCTGAGTATCCTTACGGGCTTAGGAAAGAGCCCCAGCAACACAACCAGAAGCAGCTAGGCTTCCGGGGGTGGCAAGCGCAGTGGTAACACTGAGGTCCAGCTGGCCACCTCGCTGATGATACAAACTCTCCTAATGCAGAAGATGAGCTTCTAACCCTTTTTCATGCCTGCTAAACACACCCAGTCCATGTTCTTACCTTGTTTTTTGGTCTGTTCATCGTGTATGTCCAAGGCAGGATCTGCAGCACAGCCGTGAGCGCTCCCAGGACGATTTTGAATCTCGTGGCACTGTTTCATGGAAGCCTTGAGGTCAGTGCCAGAATGACTTCGATGTATGGGGAGCTTCCACTCACTGACATCTCCAGTCTATAGGTATTTATGCAATGCAGTGGGATCGTGACTGGAAACTGGCCAACCCTGGAGTCAGCCAAACTGTGTATGGAAGAGAGATGTTAATTCCTGCAGCTTGAGGCCTTCTTCCTTTTTGCCAAAAGAGAATGGATTTTGAGGGAGCGCATACTCTGCTGCCCAGAAGGGAAGAGCTTTAGCAGCTCAAGGCACATGAATTTCAACATGACTTAAAGGCCCAGACAGAACCACTGCAGAAAAAGTTTTCCTCTGGGTTCAGGTATTATGGGGTGCAGTGACACAGTGTTTGTACACACCAGAACCTGCATATCTGTGTGGTTTCTGAAGCAACGTCTATAGACTAGCTGCAGCTAGTGTCTCCTGTCACTGTCTAGTTGCAATACAGTAGTTATGTCAGAGATGAGAATTAGGTACTGTGCCCTGTAGAGTTAGGTGGATGCTCTTAGTCTATTGTAGCACTTCAGGTACCGCCACGTGAAATCACACAGCCCTCCTCTTAAAAGAATGCTTGAACTGCATGCCATCCTATTGAAATATTAAGCACTGATTAAATATGAGAAATAAATACTGAAAGCCCAGCACTTTTGCCAGCGGAGTGGTGGTGGTCTGCAGGAATCTTGGTGCTTTAGGAGGAAGAGCCCTGTGTGGTTAGCACTGAGGAATGGTGAAGGTGCTGTACTTTAAGTAGAACTATGTCTTTAAAGAATTCTGTACTGAAATGAACTTGGAGGGAGGGAAGGAGGAAGGGACTGAAGAATTCTGGAAGCAGAATGGGTCCAACTGAAGGTAGGGTGGGGAATCATCAGGCAAAATCTTAAAATCCATCTCTTGTTTTTGAGGGTTGGAGCAGACCCCGAAAGATTCCTGGCAGGGTTGCAAGGTTGGGAATGGGACTGTTGAGTCACAAGGCTGATGCTGGTAGCCGAGAAGAGGCATGCAGGAGCGGGGCTTGGGCTCCCCATCCCTAGCCTCAGCTTTGATGAGGCTAGCCCTGCGACAGCATAGATACCGGTGAGTTTCCTGGGGCTTTATGCTCCCCTCTGTCAAACGGGCACTCTGTTGACACCTTGCCCCTCTCAAGCGCATCAAGAGAATTGCCGCATACCGAGCTTGTAGGAGTCCTCAGCAAGAGGTGCTGCCTGAATGCCAGGTAGAATCGTGCCGTAAAAAAGCCACAGGAGTCAACAGAAAGCTGCCCAAAGTTTCTCTGAAAACTGGTGCTGGGCAGTGCATGTCTAACCCACCTGAAAACATGCTGTGTACTTTAAGATGGGGGTCCCAGAGTAGCCGGCAGAGCACGTTATACCCATCTTTCTGGGGCCACCCTGTATTTATACTCTGAAAAGAGTCTGGACAAGGAGGAAGTGTGGGAGCTGCTCTTCACGCGGTGCACGCACACTTCCCCCACCCACAGACTCTTAACCATTTCCGTTTTTGCATGGGGTGCAAAAGGAGGGTGTTATTGTGCAATAGGGGAGAGACGTACTGCAAGTGACTTACGTACACAAGGCAACCCAGCCAGCCCTGTAACTAAAACCCCTCATCCCTTCGGCAAACGTTTTGTAGAGAAACTGTCTTCAGGCAGGTCTGCCTGTTTGCTTTGCTGTGCAGACCGTGTCTGTGCGTGGTTATGCGGGTGTTTGTGTCGTCCAGGAGCGCCGACACAGCCCTGTACGTTCCAAATTGGGAAGGGGCTGGGGGCATTTCAATAGGCACCGCGCAACATCAGCACAGGGTCCAAGTCCGATTTGGGGACTTCAGATAAAACGAAAGGAAACGGTGTGTAAAGGCTCCCCCTTTTTATTCTCTTTGGTTAGGCATGCCCGTTGCCTCGTTCTGTCTTCCTGCTGCTGCCTGTGGGGGAGGCTGTGTTGCATGCTATGCGTTGAATCTTTGGTCTTGGCGAGGAGGAATTCCCACATCAGTACTTGCAGCTGTGGGAGACCTCAGCCCAAGCATCCGGGGTGGCCAGGGAAAACTGAAAAAACCCCACAGGGCTCGCTCTCTCTCCCTGCTTGAGCAACCTCTTGAAATGCACATCAGTTCCCACAGGCTGAGCATCCGAGGTCCAGCACAGCCGGGAAACACCTCTTTGGGTTGATGGAGGTCACATTAGGTGTTTGCCTGTGCATCAGGCGGCTCTGCTGTCCACCCCATCCCCTCCTGGCAGCACAGGCGTCTTTGCAGTCCCCATTTCCCCAAGAAGACAGCGGTGGATCCCAAACGTTCCTTGTGTCCGTGAGCAATGTCTGGGTCTGTGTGAATGTACAATATGTTAAAGACGATACACATGCATATACATTGTGATTTGTCCTGTCGTGTCTGCGCAGAGCTCACTTGGGAAAAGGGATGTTTTGCTTTCTGGAGAAGGCAGAATTGCCGCCCTTCTCTTGTCTGACTTCACTCACCCGCCATCCCACCGAGCAGAAAGACTGTCCTGGGTGGCCTGGTGCAGTACCAACGTCCCCTGGTCCCGAGTCCCCTGGGGGCAGAGGGGTGGATTTCCTGCAGCTAATACCATCTTCTCCCTTTTCTTTCTGTGTCGCCAGCCATCTGTCCTGTGGACAGAACAGCCAGGGTGCTGTCGTGTCAAAATGGCGTTCTGGAGGGTGAAGGAAAAAACTACGGAGCTGGGGAAAGAGAAGGCTGGGAGGGGGCAGGAAGCAAGTAGTAATGGCTGTCTGGATCGTTGGGGAAACGGCACAGAGAACTGAGCAGCAGGCGTGGGCTGGTTTTGAGTGGTGCCACTGGGTCTCGGGGCTCAGGTAGGTTATAAAGGTAGTGCCGTTCCCAGACTTCCCCTAGGGAGTGAGGGCTGTGGGCAACAGCCTCTTTGGGGAGGTTTGTCCTCCCCCGCAGGACGATGTCTTGATGTGCTGCTGCTTGCGAGAGAGGCTGAAGAGCTGCTCGTGGCCCTCCACCAGCAAGGTGCGTTCCCTGGGGCAGGGGAGGGACAGCTGCTCAGGTAGGTTATAAAGGTAGTGCCGTTCCCAGACTTCCCCTAGGGAGTGAGGGCTGTGGGCAACAGCCTCTTTGGGGAGGTTTGTCCTCCCCCGCAGGACGATGTCTTGATGTGCTGCTGCTTGCGAGAGAGGCTGAAGAGCTGCTCGTGGCCCTCCACCAGCAAGGTGCGTTCCCTGGGGCAGGGGTGGGACAGCTGATGGTGCAGCATCCTCTTGGGAAGCCCTTCCAACCCCGCTGGACTCATCCCGACATACAGGGCCGGCGGGGACATGCTACAGAGTGCCCTGACAGCCCCCAGAGCCAGGGGCGTGGAGTGTGGCCTCTGTGACAAACCGTGGCAGTTTGGCACCAACTTTTACAGGAAAAACAGAGGCCCCAAGACCCTGCGCACCAGCCGGGCCTGCCTCCGGCCGGCGGAGACCTGCATCCTCTGGGGCTCTGCTGCTGAGCGCAGGAGGGCGAGGGGAGGAAGGGCCCCTTGGGGCTGGGCTGGAGGAGGGCCCCTGGGGCTCTTCTGGTCCCTTCCGGGCCACGTTCACACCAGGTTGCTCAGGGTATTGTCCTGACTGGTTCTGAGCGTCTCCAAGGGATGTCACAGCCCCGTGGGCCCTGCCTGCCTGGCTGGTGGCTCTTCCCCCACACGAGGACGCAGGGCCTGCCTGCGTAGGCAAGGATGAAAGAGTGGTGCATGTGTTACCCCTCTCTCTTACCCTCCTCCTTTTGGCTGGAGATGCTTGGGCTGGGCAAAAAGACACATTAGATGAAAAATTGGCTGCCCCAAGCCTGAAGGGTTGAGGATCCCTGAGCCCCAGGGGCTCCCCCTGACACTGACAGCTGAGGTTGCAGGATGGGGATGTCTGTCTCCCTTTTTTTTTTTTTTTTTAAAAAAAAAAAACAGGTATTTTATTGGATCTAGGACAGCTGGAGGCTGGAAGTGATTTGGTTCCTTTCCATTCCTGTTTATATTTGGCTTTAAAAAAATAAACCACACTGACTTGGTACCTACTGCCCTAGCATGCTGTGCTTTCTGAGCTGCCCGTCTCTCTTAAAAACCGCTGCCTTGCCTCTTGAAAGCGGTTTGCTCTCCCCTGTGCTCGTGGGAGGCTGACGCGTCGCTGCCAGTGCCGGAGCCCGGTCTGACAGTGAGAGAGATGGTGACAGAAACACCCACCTCTGCACCGGGTCCTGCCAAGCCTGCCTGCCTGCTGCTGCCTCTCCTTCCCCACCGGCCCTGCACCCCCTGGGGTCACAGCCCGT